CTGACCTTGAATTATATGGGCCTAAAGGTCAGCAATTTTGTTAAGATAATACATGTTGCTCCATTTATAATATACTAACGCAAATGCTGGCGAAAAGATTGAAATATTGATAAACGAGGCAGCTAAATAAATGTAATTTTTCTGTGAGAATGCATTAGACAAAGAATAATTGTCAAATATACATTGCTCAAGAATTGTACGTCAACGATCTACTTTTTCTTTCCCATCGTTCTGTAAATGTTTTATTGGGGTCAGAAATAGTTTAATTACTTCTTTCATATGCATTAGTTTGTGGGTTAACAGAACATTTTATTTATTAATCGACGAATAACATTATTTTAAAGTGATTACTAATTACTTGTGTACTTTGAAGGGAAAAGATGACCTTGCGCTGGTACAAACCAGGTGGGCTTTTGTCAACAAGGAAGAAAATCTGCTTACACGACTGCAGAATATAAATCTGGCCTTTCATTTCGAGGTTGAACAACAGGTCAATGGGTGGTTCCTCAACTTTTTTGGATTCAATGGGACGGCTGGTGTTTGGAGAATTAAAGCCATCGAGGACTGTGGTGGATGGATGGACAGAACAACTGTCGAGGACATGGATATTGCTGTCCGTGCACACTTGTGCGGTTGGAAATTCATTTATCTAAATGATGTTAAGGTTTGTATGCATGAAGATTTATCAGACAGTCATGGCATTCGAAGTTTCTGAGTTTGTTATAATCGACCATCTTTATGCAGTGTCTCTGTGAACTTCCCGAGTCGTATGAAGCATACAAAAAGCAGCAACACCGCTGGCATTCGGGGCCCATGCAGTTATTTCGGTTGTCTTTTTACAGCATACTGCATGCAAAGGTATGTAAGATTCTTTCCCTATAAAGTAAGAGCGCAGCATTTGACTAATCCATAATATAACTGAAATGGACAATTGATCAAGTACAAGTTGTATGTCTATAAGAAGATTTAATATTGGAGGATCCCTTGTGTGTTCCTAACACTAATTTTAGAATGGAGAATCACTTTTTAACACATCCGACTTGAGCATAAAAGGAAGTGCTCTTATATTGCATAATTTATCAAAATGTAGGTAAAGATTCATTTATTCATTTTCGTCCCGCCAGGAATAATTATTATTATTATTTTTTTTTTTTAGTGGTGAATTTTTCAGAACAGTAATGGATATCGAATGAAAATGTAATGAGAAAAGTTAATATGACATAAAAAAAAGGATGATTGAAAAGAATTAAAACTTTAAAATTTTGCAAATTCATAAGGAATTACGTGTTAATTATTTTATTTTATTTTTTAAATCAAAAGAAAAATGTGTTGGTGAGATTGACGTGTGAAAAAGTAAAGAATGGGTGCAAAGTATATTTTTTAGAAAAATGATACCCAATCACAAAATTTGTCTAGTTAGAATGAAAATAGAAATGGACATAGAAACTTTTGGATTTGTTTTAATTTTTCGTTTGCTTAATTTTGAAAAATGAGGTATAATTAGTTGTTAATGAATATATTAAAATATCTTTAAAATAAAATAATTAAAGTTGATTTGATGTAAAAATAGGAGATAAATGGTTTGAAGTGATAGTTAAAATTATGTTAGTAGATGAATATTGGTGATGATAGTGAAGTTGAATTAAAGTTGAGTTAAAAAAAGTGGTTGGGTTAAAAATGGGGTAAATTGCACCAAACCCCCCTGTAATATACTAAATCTGCGCGTTTTCCCCCTGTATTTTAAAAATTGCGCCATACCCCCTTGTAATATACTTTTGCATGCA